AAAAAAAAAAAAAAGGAATAAAAAGAAATCAATGATACGATTTTAAAAAGATATATATATATATATATTTGAAATGAATTTTACTCGTCTCGTTAACATTCTTGTTTATCCTAGCCATTAATGGAGTGTCATCGCGAAGGATTGACGTGACGAATAGTCACTGCCTTTTTGTTGTCGTGCACGCGTTAATGCAGAAGAATTTTAAAAATTCGACGAATTAAAATGGAAAGAAAAAACTTTGGTATGTCTCAAATTTTCGTGTGTTGTTCGAACATCATTTTTCTGGTGAGTTGCTAATAAATTAAATTATTTTCAATGCAAAATTTTAAATTTTAGAACAGTGTTTTAATGTAACACGTAAACAAATTCATTCTTTAAATTAATAAAGTTTTATTTTTAAAAATTAATAAAGTTTTATTTCAAAGATAGTAATAATTCGATGAGAAGAATTAACGAATATTAAAATTTATAAATGTTACTGTTCTTTTCAGATATCGGGTTTCACGTTGATGTCATTAGGAGCATTTTTATTAGCTGATGATGAACGTATTTTATTATCGCGTTTATTGGGACCAGGTGATATACATCCCGATCAACCACTTTTTTATTACTTAGCATTTGCACTCGTTGGACTCGGATTTCTGATCACGTTAACTGGTCTACTTGGATGTTGGGCAATTTGTCTTTATAATCGATGCATCACAATTTCAGTAAGAATTTATAAATTTTTGTTGTTGTACGTTATAGAACACTTTGAATAGTTTCCGAATGTTTATAATTTTCTATCATTTTTCTATGAAAAATTATACATTTTTATGAAATTGAAGATTAAGATTAGAATTAGGAATTAGAATAGTAACGAAATTATAAATAATCGTATATTTGCAAAAAAAAATATCTATAGTGTAAAATAATGCTAGAATCTCGCAATTTCTACTCAAATATCATATATTTAAAGAGAAACAAATTGCAATAAGACTTTCTAATTTCACATTTCACATTTCAAAAATTAGATCAACGCAATAAAATTTGAAATTCATAATGGAACGTTTCAGAAGTGTTTTTCGAAGAAGATTTAAAAACAGATTTTCTATAGTTATTGATGTTTCGTATTATATAATTTATTTTATACTTGTGAACTGAATAATTACATATTTTAATCGTGTAAAAGTCAAAATCTGTACGATTTCACTCGTTGAGTTTATTCGAACTAAACTAAAACCAGATTTCCCGCTTTGTCGGTCTACTCGTCATGCGTCGTTGCTCGAAAACGGATCTACATAAATCAAGACACGCGTGCTTACAGAAGGAGGACGAAGTGCATCATTTAAAAGCAGTAATTATTTCATAGAGCTTATTAGATGAACAAAAAAAAAAAAATAAATAATTACTCCATGAAGATGTTTTGATATGTTTCGTTGTATATAACATTCACAATTGTGATATATAAAATTTAGATAAGTAACATATAATAATTTTAAATAGCCATGAATGTCTAGAATTCTAACTTTTTATTAGTAACAGTCTATTTGTAAGATGTACCGCCCGAGTCAACGAACGAGGCATCGTTCTCTATTTCACTTCTGGACAGTGCTGAAAGATATATATATTAATATGTAGATAATACTAAGTAGTTTTTATCTTTAATATTTTTTTTTTTTTATAAATTTGATCTATAAATTTATTACGATAAAATCATAGAAGTATTCGTTATTATTTACAAATTCGACGTAACGAGCGTAATATTTTCTAAAATCATAACGATAATTTCATTAAATCAATTTTTCACGATATGATAAACCAAAGGAATATAATTACAAATTACAATTAATTTAAAAACCCGTTAATCCAATAAATGCACACGTGTAATTCGTGTAATTATATTTACACATTTAAAATACATTGAATCAAAATAAAAATACTTATCTCTCATTTTATACAAACGATTCGAACATTAAACATTCAATAACAAACGAATAACTCTCGAATAAGAGAGTTTTCTTAATTACTTCGCTCATTATATTTTATCTATTAGTTCTATCCTCGATATTCCTTATTTCATAATCCCCTCTTTCTTTAATTACTTCACTCATTACTTTACTTTACTTTATTTACTTTTACTTCCAGTATTTCATCACGATAATCCTCCTATTGCTCGGCGAATGCACCGTATGCGTTCTCGTGGTGTTCTGGCCTCACGTTTTAGGCATCGATGTCAGACCGGCACGATTGATACGAGCTTTGCAGCGAAGCTACGCCGTACCCGGTCGAGAGCAATTCACGGCAGCCCTTGATCTCGCACAAACAACGGTACGTTGCTAAATACGATCTCGAAACCAAAGTGTTTAACAAAGACAGACTGCGAGATGCAAAACAGAATTTTATTTATTCAGATTTCCACGAAATCGATGATCAAAAAAAAAAAAAAAAAAAAAATAGCACGCACACACCTTTCAATCTATGAAAAATCTGCCTCGATGTTTTCAGTTTGCTTGCTGCGGCATAAACGGAAGCAGCAATTACGGCACCTCATGGTGGCGGCTGCAGGAAGTCGGCCGAAGAGAATTAGTGGTGCCTCTCAGTTGCTGCACCCTGAATAATGTAAACCAGACCGATTCCTTCCTCAATCCCGAACCTGCCAATCTTACTCTCTGCCAGGCTTTGAATCCCGCCGAACATCAATATGCCCGGCATACTACGGTACGTATCATTAATGAGGATGTTGTTAAACGTGTGCGGAAGAAATAAACATTTCGACTGAGTGACACGTCCCATTAATATAACAATATAATAATTGCAATTGCAAGTCGTCATTTATTGACTGATTGAAATTATTTTTGACATTCGTACGTTGGTGTCTTAAGCGTCGAAGAAATTTATCGATCATACGTCATCGTACAATAAAATTACGTGGTTCATTTCTCTTATAATACGATTATTATCTGTACATTTGTTAATCGATTTTTATATCACGTTTATCTATAAATAATATCGTGATATATGCAAAGTTACTTACTTTTTTTCCCGCAATTATGTCACGTTTATCTATAAATAATATCGTGATTGTAATATGCATTGTGATATATGCATTTTAGTTGCTCACTTTTTTATCCGCAATAACTTCGACGTACGTAAAATCGAGGGCGAAATGAAAACGTTTCTGCTATCTTTGCTGTCACACACGCACGCGTTCAATAATGACCCGCATGCGAGTATCACACGCCTAAGGGAAATTCAGTCGGATGCGGGTTGCATAAAAACGGGGCGAACGTTGATGTATCGTTCAATCTGTATCTGGAAACGGGCGCGTCTGTCGGTAAACGGGGAACGGAAAAAGGACCGTGATGAAGTTCGTCTATTGTGCCAGAAAGTTTTCTTATCTCTCCCCCACCCCTTCTCCCCCTCATGGCGCGTATTTAATTTCGCACCGTTGCGTAGAATTTGAATGCAGATTGAAATGTCATGTGACGATTGTGTCGACGATTGTCTACACGTGATGACATTATCTCTTCGCGTATATAGAACGTTTACGCGTTTATAAGAGTTTCTTATACGTGAAACGTTTTATTTGAATGAATGAGACGTACGTACGTCTGCTTTGAAATTTAAAGAATTTATCGAGTTGAAAAAATTGATTGGATGAAAGAAGGAGAATTGAATATTGCTATTGAAACTATGTATTTTCTATCGATTTATTCCTTTTTTTTTTTAATATGCGAAAATGTTTTACAATAAAATTTTGAATTTTAGTTACTTCTAAGTACTTATTGCAAGCTCTAAATTGATTCGGAATTGTAAACTTGTATTATATATATATTTTTATTTCTCGTCAAAAACTCAATTCATATTACTGATGTATTTATAAAATATTTTCTTCTTTAGTTTCTTCTTTAATTTTTGTCCATGTTTATATTCTATGGGATTAGGTTTCATTTTCAGTTTTCGTTTCTCTTTGTGAGGATCAGTTGAAATAATCAACCTCCAAATAATTTATAAATTATTTATCTCAATCAATCTGCAAAATATGGTGAAATTTAAAATCAAACTTTCACTCGTTCTACATTCGCTTACGCACATTTAATTATTTTTATTTGATACATATAACGTAATATATGCGATGAATAAACATTATCCAGATTTAATAGATGCGATAATAATCTCTATCTAAACTATTTTCTGTCTCATATTTTATTTTTTTATTTTATAAAGAGAGGGATTAAATAATATTTGTTGTTGTAGGGTTGTTTGGAGATGTTGGAGAAATGGACTCAAGACCAAGCGTTGATATTGCTCGTGATCGGACTTACTATTATTTTCGTGGAGGTAAGCGCACTTCTAAGCACATTCTTCGCCTGTTCAAAAGGGACTAAGAGAACTAAGTCACAAGCATCAACGTTTACGTCCACGCAAACGCTCAGCCCATTCAACGAGAGCGATCACGATTTTGGTAACAAATTTTCTTTTTAACCAATTTTTTTTTTCTTTTACGAATCATCATTGCAATGCAACGTTTATAGGATTAGATATCGAGAACAGAAACGCGACTGGAACAACGTTTGGCGCTAAATCATGAAGATGGCTAGAGGGCAGTGAGGGTAAATCGTCTATCGATATCAAGAATACGAAAACTGTGTCGAACTTGTCCAGGTTAGGAGATGTAAGAAGATTTAGTAAGAGTATAATCGAAGAATGGAAAAATTCTCCAGAATTTGATGAGGACGACGAAGTGTTGCGAAGTGATCAATTGTACGAAGAGCGTGCAATAGATGTCGTGCCAGATTGTCCCAATAAAACTTGGTCAATAGAGAAAAATAATCTCGATAAAAGTCGCGATGATAAAAGTAACGCGATGAAGTCAAAATTGCATAGCAGCGCCGCCACTGTCAGAAGTATTCCAATAAAGAATTACCAGGCCTCGATAGCCCATAACATTGGAACGTTGAAACGGTCAGAGATACCTCAACTCCAATTTGAATCCTCGATGTCCGAACCCGATAAGAGTCTCCGTTTGACTAAATACAAAACCATATCTTCTCCCCAAAACGAAGTTAAATCTCAAATTCGACGATCGACCATGGCCTCCAAGCATTCGGAAATTTTAAACCCATCCAGGAGATCTTGTCATTCTTGCGATTACCAACGCGAAATTCAAAATGAACAGCGTAAGGTCAACTCGAAGATAAAAACGTTGGATAGAAGAATTGTGAAGAGTGAACGTAACGTTTCGAATCAAAAGGATGATCTTAGCGATTTTGGTGGTGATGATTATTTTTATAAATCTCAAAAATATAATTGCAGCCATCGAAGATCAAAAGAAGACACGAGAATTCAAGATCAATCGAAGGAGGAATCGATGGAGAATAGAGATTTGAAACGGTTGAGAAACGAGGAAACGCGGATCAAGAGTAAATGGGGGACCATTGATTTCAAACGTGGACACGTGGGTCAAAAAATATCGGCGTACGAGGAAAATGCCAAGCGCGGTAATCGTAATTGGACGTCTCTCGACACGTATCAAATATTTCCCGAAATAAAGAAACATCGAGCGATCGGTGTACCATTAGTAGGCATGCATAACGCGTGCGGTTTGCCGGTAGTGGCTTCATGGCACGATCATGAACTATTGGAACCTCTGAGAGTCAAAGGAGGTAGGGTTTTAGGAACGTTAAGGCCGATTGTCAAAGGATCATCGCGCGCTTCGATTAATTTCCGTCATCGAACTCATCCTAAAAGGAGAATGGTAGATACGAATCAGAGCATTTCTAAAAGGAGCCAAGTTTTAGATTTAAGAGAGTCTGATAAGAAGATTGATTATCCATCGATAAAGTCGTTAGTTTCTTTGGAAACGGATGGGCTAAGAAAGAAAAGGAGACATCGATCTTCATTTAAGGCGAAGAGAACTGGTACATTTTCGAAAAATACTATGAAACGAAAGAGTAGATCGGATGAAAGAAAAGATAAAGAGAATTGTTTGATCGGCAGTCTCTATAAAAAATCGTTCGAATCTGGAAATACAAAAAGACAAACTTTGTATGCGAGAGATGATGGAGAGGACGCTGTGCAAGTTCTTAAGAGTTTATGTTTAAATCCTTTGGCACGAACGAAATCTGATACTGATATGATATGGTAAAATTAACGAGACCTGAAATAATTGGAATAAACATCTTGATTGAACAGTCAATGATATTTATATCATTCATTTTTTTCTAGATATCTTATTTGCATGTATAATTGTAATTAAGTCTGATTTATCCCATATATTGGATGTGTAAACTGCAATTCTTGCAGTTTTAATTATTCACTTTCAAGTAATACAAAAAAATAACGTATTCCGCTAAATTTTTATTTATATTGAACATTATTAAATATCCAATATATATTAATGATATAATTTAAAAGTGTTTAAATAAATTATAAAAATACAGATTTCTAAAATGAAAAAGTTTATAGAAATTATTTTTGTAGCTTTTTCTATTTGAGAATCGCTTGTTCTAATTCTTGCTTTATTCAACTATTGAAATATTATTATATAAATAACGGATAATTAAGATCTTATAAATATTATTGTATTAAAATATTACTGAAATATGTCAATAATATTTATTGTCATATTAAGACTGTCATATTTATTGTCATTTAACAATAATAATTACAAAAATCACATGGTATAATCTTTTTAATAGAATTCTTAATTTTTTATTTACAATATAAACTGTTATTAAATTGATTAAAAATTATTTATGATTAAATTTTAATATACAATAATGGATACGTTATGCTTTGTAAATATGCATTATTAATTGTGTTGTATTTTTGAATGTTATAATAAAACGGAAACCCTTGCTACCCTCGCTAGAAGTAATCGAGTATCTTTACAAAGTCCTTAGAAGAATATAGAAATTTTAGGAATTTTAAATATGTTAAATATCTATCCATTAAAGTATTCATAATTGTACTTATAATTGCGGAACAAGTAAATAAATAAAGAATACAAATAATGAGAAAAGGACAGAGATAAAATAAAAATTCGAGAATCAGCGCCATCTCTATTGCCATAAATGAATAAATATAGATAAAAAAAAATAAATAATAAAAGACGAATAGAAATAGAATACGAATTGACCATCAAGTGACATCTCGTGAGTGCTAAAGATATTTTCAAGAGTAGAATAGAATTGAGGATCAATACCATTTCTTCAATAGTCTATTTTATTATTTTAATTTATTATTAATATCCTATTTAGAGAAATATTTATTCTTAAAAAATGGCACGGCTGATCAATTCTTATGCTATTTATTCTTTTCTTTTTTTTATTCATATTTCATTTGCGGCATTCTAGAGATGGCGCTGATTTCTGAATTTTTATTTTACTTTTTCCATTAATTGTTATATTTCATTTTCTCTTTTTCTCTGTGAGATACATTTGACAATAGGGATTAGATTTAATAAATTCAAAAAAAATTTGATCCAAAGGGTAACATTGAAATTGATATCAAAATGATAAAGAAGTTCTAAAAAATACATTGAATGGTCTATTCGTTGAAGTCTCGTTTTTTCGATCTATAATCACGTGTAAAACGTGTGTGGAAATTTTCTAGTTATTTCGAAAGCATGGCTACTGTTCATAAATTGCGGCTTGCAATTAAATTTGGAAAAAATCTTTCAAGACCATTGAGTCGAAGCTTTGAAAGAAAAATTTTAGAAAAACAATGTCAACGGTGTTTAGGTTTGTATATCATGTTATTTTAATTTTAATTTTCTAATTACTTAAATTTTAAGGTTATTTACTTTTTTAAATTAAATTAAATTATTTATTAAATTATTAATTCATATATGATATGATATTATAATATTTGAATAATTATTCTTATTTAATATTAATTTAATATTTAATTTCCAAATTTAATGACTTATTTAACTTTAATATTTTAATATTCTTTTTGAATATATAGCTATAAATACAAATATCTTGGCGCAAAACTTTTCATCTCAAACAGCAACTCAAACCACTGAAATTCATAATATTATAAAAGATGTTGAGAAATCTACAGGTAATTATAAAATTTTTTTTTTATATATTTTCTAAAATATATATTTTATATAGTGTAACATATAATGTGCATTTAATTTTTTTAGAGGAAGGTGTTAAACATGAATTTCGATCAGAAACACAAATGCTTTTACAAATTGTTGCCAAATCCTTATATTCAAATAAAGAGGTAAGATTGATATAATTTTATCACATATAATATTTTTACAATATTATATATAATATTTTTATAATATTATATTTGTAGAACATAAATATTAACAGGCAAAAGTTCTTTTCTTGATTATATGATTTTTTTGTATTTTAAGGTATTTCTTCGTGAATTAATTTCTAATGCGAGTGATGCACTTGAAAAATTAAGATATATACGTTTAAGTGATTCCAAAGCTGCAGAAGTTATTGGTGATCGAAGTTTAGAAATTCACCTTGGTACTGATAAACAAAATAGAACTCTTATAATTCAGGATACAGGAATTGGTATGACTCGTGAAGAATTAATATCAAATTTAGGAACAATAGCTCGGTCTGGTTCCAGAGTAAGTGAAATTAAAATTATAAATATATTTTTTTAAAATATATATTTTATAATATATAATATATATAATATATTAATTTTAAAATATTAATTTAAATGAGAAAATATCTTATTTTTCACAATAATATTTATATTGTAAATAATATAAATAATTTTTTTTATATAAACAATTTTGAATTTTTAATATCATAATATGGAATTTTCTTTCTCTTAATATAGGCCTTCATAGAAAAATTAAAAGAGAAGCAAAATATTGGGGATTCATCTAATATTATTGGACAATTTGGAGTTGGTTTTTATAGTGCTTTTATGGTTGCTGATAAAGTAGAAGTTTTTACAAAATCATATGCAAAAGATGCTGAAGATCTTTATTGGGTTTCTGATGGGTAAAAAATATTTTATAATTTATAGATATTTCTAGATTTATATAATAAAAATGTACAAGAATCTGGAAATATTGAGCGGTGTTAAATTCCAGAATATATGTTTTCTTTTAGTTCTAATACATTTAACATCTCAAAAGCTGAAGAAGTTCAACCTGGAACAAAAATTGTTATACACTTAAATATGGAATGCCGGCAATTTAGTGATGAAGATACAATTAATCGTACGTTATAATTATAATATTATTATTTTATTTATTTTTAATATTTTTTATTTTTTGATGATTAATTAATATTTATTAATATCTAAAGGTCTCATTACTAAGTATAGCAACTTTATCAACAGTCCTATTTATGTTAATGGCAAAAGAATTAATACTGTACAGGTAGGATTTGATTATTTATATTTTTCTATATGGATACTTTATTATTATATTATTATATATTTTCTTCCAGCCATTATGGATGCTTGATCCAAAAGATATTACATCTCTACAACATAAGGAATTTTATAGATTTATTGGAAATTGTTTTGATTCTCCACGATTTATATTACAATACTCAACCGATGTTCCACTTAATATAAGAGCTTTATTATATTTTCCGGAACAGAAACCACCATTATTTGATTTTTCTAAAGGTGAAACAAGTGGTATCTCATTATATAGCCGTAAAGTTTTAATAAAAAATAAAGTGGAAAATATTTTACCAAATTGGATGCGTTTCATTGTTGGAGTGGTCGATTCTGAAGATATTCCTCTTAATTTAAGTCGCGAATTATTACAGAATAGTAGTTTAATTGGGTAAGATATAATAAAAATAATCAAAAATATTATATATAATGCTATATATATTATATATTATTATATATAGATGCTAGCAATTATTTTAATTTTGTACAATCGTTTTAATTATAGAAAATTACGTAGTGTTCTAACTACACGAATTTTAAAGTTTCTGAATGAAAAATCTCAGAAACAAATTGAAGATTATAACAAATTTTATAAAGATTATAGTATTTTTTTAAAAGAAGGTATTGTGAGTACTGATGTTCAGGAAGAAAAGGTAATTAATATATATGCCATTTTTATTTCTGCCATAGTGGTTTATTACTTTTTATAATTAAACTTTTATATTTTTATAGGAAGCAATAGCCAATCTTTTACGATTTGAATCTTCTGCAATGGCACCAGGTGAATCAATAAGTCTCGAAGATTATTCTAAACGTATGCCTCCCGATCAGAAAAAAATCTATTATTTGTTAGCGCCAAGGTAAAAATTAATTGTTTTTGTATAAAAATATAAATAATTGGAACAATATTTACAATTATCATATTTTAATTATAGCCGCCAATTAGCTGAACAATCACCATATTATGAATCTCTAAAGAAACGTAACGTTGAAGTACTTTTTTGTTATGAGGCATATGATGATGTTATTTTCTTAAATTTAAGAAAATTTAAATCTCATACTTTAACTTCTGTTGAAGAAAATTTATGCGAATCAAATTCAAAATCTGATAGTCCTCGTAAGTATTCGATGATTTTCAAATTTTTAATAATTAAATATCTTAATTTTTAATATGTTTTTAATATGTATTTGTTTAGATATTATTAATCAAGGTGATATTAATAATCTTATGACTTATATGAGAAAAGTATTATCTGGAAAAGCATATGATATTAAGATAACAACTCGACTTGAGTCACATCCGTGTATAATTACAGTCCAAGAGATGGCAAGTGCAAGACATTTTGCCCGCGTACAAACTCGTCAATTCGGAGATGAAATGTTATATTCTCTGCTTCGGCCATGTTTTGAAATAAACCCTAATCATTTTCTTATCAAAAAACTTTGTGAATTAATAAATAATAATACAAAATTAGCGGATCTTCTTATAAAACAGGTTATATTACTTTAAATTTATTTTTTTTTGTATATAATTATTTATCTACAAAAATATTATATATATAATAATATTTATGTACATTGCATTTAAAAAATTCTTAAATTTTATATTTATATATATATTCTAATTTTTTTTTAATTTGTTTCAGTTATTCACTAATAGTATGGTAGAAGCTGGTTTAATTGACAATCCACGTATATTATTAGCATCAATGAATGAATTATTGACTTTAGCATTAGAAAAAAATTAGTTTTGTAATTTAAAAAAAATTTGCAACAATATTTTTTTTATAAGTTATAGATTTATTGTATATAATACAACCATTTTAAATAAAGTAATTATTTGATAATTATTTATAAAATTACTTTTTATAGTTAAAAATTTTATTTAGTAAAAAAATGCGATTAATTACTAAATAATTATTATCATTACTTTTATAATTTGTAAAATAAATTATTTGATATATTTAATTAATTCAAACATTCATTATTTTACTAATCTTAACTAATAAATCCATATATAAATGGAAAACAATTATAACATAACGGTTTTAGAATTAGTATAATAATACAAAATATAGGCAAGATTGTATTCTTTATTACAATAGGTTGATCTTGTACAAATTAATTATAGCCTTCTAATTATAACAAGTCAAGTTCCTCATTGTTTGAAGGATTTCATGATATCGATATGTATCCTATTAGCAGGGCTAAGTGTTGCGGTGAATTTGGAAGTTGTACCCACATTTTTTTATGTTTAATTTTTTCTACGTTCGTCATCATCCTATAATTATGGCAAGTTACAGTAAAGTAAGAAATAAATGGAACTATTTATTAGTTTGTAAGTTATCAAGTACACAAATCAATAATAAATAGTTTGAAAAATAAAAAAGTAAACGCATAAAAATGAAATTCACTTATTTTGATCAATTCCAATTGCTTAAATTATTAATCATACTGAATTAATTAAGTCTATTTTATATTTCATTTAATAAAACTTAATGTTGTTATTTGATCAAAAGTTCCATAAAATATTGCGTTTCTTCTTTTTTATCTTTAAAACAAAATACTTCATAATGTCCACATGATATAAACTGATTGGTACAATATTTATAAATGAATGATCGTTTAATCCGCATCGCTTTACAGTCTTTAACCAATGTTTTTTTCACTGTTAATTCATAAGATATAAAAACTAATCTTAATAGTTAAGAATTCGCTGTGCTTCGACGCAAACTGAAATTTTCATTGCGCGTTGATGTTGATTCCGATACAATTTGTTAAGTTAAAACTGTACAATATCCTTATTTCATTCTAATATAGAATAAATTGTCATGTTCATTGTATCCATGTAAGTAATTGCATTGAAATTTCAGAGAGGAGAGGCACAGCTATTTCAAACTTACACAAAAAGAAGACAATAATTTCTTTTCCTCTCGGTTAAACACAAAAAAAGTCACCCTGTTTCATATTATTAACGTCGTTTACTCGTTTATCGTACTAAATGTAGAAAAAGATGGCTAACATCAGAGAACAGGAACATAAACAGTGAATTTGTCAGTAGAATTCTACATGTATAAACAGAACGTGTACACCTCTCCCAATTAAGCTGCTGCTAAATATTTGTTCAACGGAAAAAGAAGTATCTTGCGTGGAAGTACACGGTATTTAAAAGACATTAGGCACAGAAATAACAGTTTCTTGACTCTTTGTGTGTCACGCTTAACTACACAAATTAATCAAGGGGAATGCCTTCGTTCGTACGGCATTATTATTAAGTTGGCAGTTCAAAAAATGTTTCATTATCGTTATTTGGACAGATTTTCATGATGAAAATAACGGTATGAGAACTATGAGTAATTTATGAAGAGCGTTGATGAATTGCGAATGATCCACATTGCTGAGCAGTCTTATCGAGTAGATAAAAATGTTAAAGCGTGATGTAAGTAATAGCACCATATATGCAGTTATGTTTGTTGAACTGATGGTGACTAATGAAAGAAGAAATGAAGTAAAATATATATATATATAAAATAAAAAGAGAGAAAAAAAAATGAAATTAAACGAACGGAACGTTGACTTAGTATTACGTACGCACGGAATTGGAGTACTATCTTCCGCGATTCTTTAATTTTTTTTCTCTTAAAAAACGTTGGATAGTTAATATTACAATCATTATCATACAAGTCATAGTATTTGATCATTGTATAAACATTATTATCATCACAGTAAAAATATTTCATATCTTTTTAACTATTGTGCTTTGCTGCAGTAAACGTCAGCAGACATGCACATATATTCGCCCTAGAAGCAGAGCACTGTTTTTTTTTTTCACTAGAGTCAATTTATTTACTCACTAGACTATATGTATGCTGTACTTATATCTATATTATTAAGTAGTCCTTCTGTTTATTTCGTACGTAACCAAAATAAAGTCGGTTAGCAAATAGTAAAAATACATAAATGTACCTATGTACTTTTTTTTTGCAGTGGAATTATAGTTGCGGATAACATTTAAGTTTAAACGATAGATTATTAAACAATAGTCATTGGTCTGACAACGCGGTCGTGATTAAATTTACTTCTCTCAAGTAACAAATTTTATTCTTAATCAAGATAACTTCTTACTCATAATAGTTGCGTATAGTTGTCACGATATATATGTATACATATATTTTTCATATTGTATACATATACATACATACATATATATATATTTTTTCTTTACTAAACCTCATCCCCTTTGGTAGAATGAAACGATGTTTTATCTTTAAAAAGAAACAAAACTTTTAATAATCCATATATCATAAAATTGTCAAAATGTTAATTAAATAAAATCATCTGATAAAATGCAATCTTCTATGTTACCAATTCGTCAAATGGTCCTATTTCAATTATTATTAAATATATAACGGAAGTTATATGAAAACAAGAATTGCTCCCGGATACGTCATTTTCATACTCAATTGTTTCGAGGATTTCGCGGAATTAAGTACGTAACGAGAGTACCTAAGCTCTACCTACATAGGAGATTTGAGGTACGATGCGTAAACAATTCGCATCGTTAGCTCAGTATGCGAATTTTTATACCGTGTTTATTAATTATCTCGTGTTCATCAGTTCTTTATATTCATAGCTGCCTCTGTACACACTTTTTATCATTTTTTTCTCTACCTCTGATTCAATAATACGTATGTACAATATTTCTTTTTATATTCACATAACATTCGCACTGTCTTAAGCACAGAAAAAGACGATTATGTTCAATTTGTTTTTAAGTCGTGGCACCACTGTTTGTCACACCGAGGTCTGCGTGATACCGTTCCCCGACAACCACAAACGGCCGTTACTTTTTTGATCGGTGATTTCGTACTCGGAATCATCAATCTCGCACAAATTGGTGGATAAATCGCTGTTACTCGTCGCACCGCCTAACAACGAATTCCTTTCCTCGAGAGTGGTGATCACCGAACCGATTTCATCGACCTCGTCTCCTTTGTGACATCGGTTTCGTCGGGTGCTTGGGAAACCATAAGGCACTACGTCGTCTTCCTCCTCATCGGATTCTAAAGTACTAAGACGTCCATTCAACGGATTCGTTTCGTTCTCTGTGTCCGTGTGGATATTGTAATGCGGTAGATAAGAATTCGGATGGCGAAGATAACTTTCGGAACTTTTATACTTGTATTCTCCTTCGCCGCCACTGTCCAGGGGATTCAAACGCTGTGTTTCCGCGCATTGATATTGTTCAGAGAATTCAGTCCCGCATTCCGAGTCCCCGACGTATTCTGATTCTTGATCTTCGTTCAATGTCTCGATGTCTCTCGCTGGATCTACAGAGCCGTGCACTGTAATCAATATAATCCATGATTTTATGCACTTTGAAGAGTTATTTCAATTCTCAATTTAATAATTAAATTAGATATTAAAAGCAG